CACACACACACACACACACACACACACACACACACACACACACACACACACACTGAGGAGAGCAGATTTTAAAGCAGTGATGTCAGAGGTGAAATTGAGGCGAGGATGTGAGACGAGGGGAGGGACGCTCTCCTGTATAAATCCTGACCTCGTGGAGACATGAGGACACTTCTAACATCTCAGAGGACAAACTGCTGCGATGGCTCATCTCGACAGTAAGTCACATCTTTCTTTGTACGTTTTAAGTTCTGAGGAGTTGGGGGGGGGGGGGTCTCTGATTTATGATCCACGTTTGGGAGTGAAGACTCGAGCTCATCCCTGCAGCCATCCCAGGAGGAGCCTTTAGGTCTGAGGAAGACCACCTGAGGTCCCTGCCTGCGTCAAACTGAGCCGGACTTTTATTTTGTCTTAAAACAACTGGACTCACTGGAAGCTCTGTGATGTTTGTGGCTCAGCTGCAGCTGACCTGACATCAGCTCTGCTGTGGAGCTGCTCTGTGCTGCAAGAGATGAGAAATTATCACAGAAATACAGAAAAAACAGCTTCAGTGTGTTTCTGTTACAGAGGAGAAATCATCTGACTGTAGACAAGAAACAAAAAGTAAAAAACAAAGTAATGTTGAGTTCTTAAATTAAAAACTTAGAGTCATATATGTGACCGAATGCCAACACCTGTTGACCTGCAGAAACAGCTTTTAAAACTTGATCCAGAAACCTTGAAAACTGATCCAGAAACTTTAAAACTGATCCAGAAACTTAAAAAAAAGATCCAGACACTTTAAAACTGATCCAGACACTTTAAAACTGATCCAGACACTTTAAAACCTGATCCAGAAACTTTAAAACCTGATCCAGAAACTTTAAAACCTGATCCAGAAACTTTAAAACTGATCCAGAAACTTTAAAACCTGATCCAGAAGCTTTTAAACTGATCCAGAAGCTTTTAAACTGATCCAGAAGCTTTTAAACTGATCCAGAAACTTTGAAAACTGATCCAGAAACTTTAAAACCTGATCCAGAAACTTTAAAACTGATCCAGAAGCTTTAAAACTGATCCAGAAACTTTAAAACTGATCCAGAAACTTTGAAAACTGATCCAGAAACTTTGAAAACTGATCCAGAAGCTTTAAAACCTGATCCAGAACCTTTAAAACTGATCCAGAAGCTTTAAAACCTGATCCAGAACCTTTAAAACTGATCCAGAAGCTTTAAAACCTGATCCAGAACCTTTAAAACTGATCCAGAAGCTTTAAAACCTGATCTTGTTTCAGTCAGAATAAAATATCTGAGTGTCATCATGTAAATGAGGGAGTTTTGAAATAAAACTGGATTATTGTTTCCAGAGGTCCGATCTGTTCTCAAACCAGAAAAAGTTTATTTTTCAGTTTTTTCATCTGATCCCAGCTCTGAGTGGAGCTCTGCCTGTTTCTCAGCAGGTTTCATCATCAACGTGGACCTGAGGAGTCATGAGAACAACTCGGCTCACCGGACCAGGGAGATGGACCGGGACCGGCTGATCGTCCGCAGGGGCCAGCCCTTCTCCATCACCGTGCACAGCCCTGACTCCCAGCTGTTCCAGCAGCAGCTGGAGCTGATGCTGCACGTCGGTGAGTCCGACTGAAAACACTGACATGCCTGAAATTAAAGACAGGAGGTAGGTGTGTGTGTGTGTGTGTGTGTGTGTGTGTGTGTGTGTGTGTGTGTGTGTGTGTGTGTGTGTGTGGTTGGTCTCAGGACATCCTGAAGGACACACACGTCCTCCTGATGTTTTACGAGACGTGCTGCTGCTGCAGGTCGAAGGAACGAGGTGAAGATCAGGGTTCAGAAGGAGTTTGGGAAGAAGTGGTGGTTCAGCCAGATGAGGGCGCAGAACGAGATGCTGCTGACCGTACACAGCCCGGCGGACGCCATCGTGGGGCGGTACCGCCTGACGGTGCTGCTGATGTCAGCTGATGGCAGCATCATCAAGAAGACGGGAGAAATCAGCTTCCACCTGCTCTTTAACCCCTGGTGCAGAGGTAACGAAACAAAACGACTTTATCTTCTCTTGAACCTGAAGCCTCAACATTATGAGACCGTGGTGCTGACCGCTGAGCCACCGTCCTTCACAAACTGATTCCTCAGATGATGATGGGGTTATGGAAGCCATTGTAACTCAATGCTCAAATTAAAATGGATTCATAGAAATGCTTTTTCAATTTCAAAATAAGCCTGCACTTTTTGAACTACAAATAAAATTATAAATAAATATTCCAAATTGCATCGAGCCACCCGCTTCGGATGTTATCATCCATGAAATGGACGTTGTTAGGCGTTATCAGTCCCATAGAATGGCTTCTGATTGTCAGCTGGTTAATATGATGCATAAAGTCAGTAAGGTTAACTTTAGAGAAAATGACATAGTTAGTGCTAAAGACACCGCCCTCCAATAGCTGAATATTGTAGCCCTCAATAGTGCAATGGGTAGAGTGTCGGACCAGAGAGCAGGAGACCAGGGTCTGAGACCGACACAGACAGGACAAAAAATTTATTAAAATATGTTTTGGTTATTTACACATTCATTGTCATTCATATATTAACCCACTAGGGGGCACTGTCGAGACAGTCTGAAGCCTAGAAGGCACAGTAGGGACCCTCTGAAGCCATTGTATGGGACTGATAACACCTAATAACGTCCATTTCATGGACTGATAACACCTAATAACGTCCATTTCATGGACTGATAACATCAGAATCCCCTGATTGAGCAGTCTTGGAGAAGAAAATAAAAATGCAATTTGGATGATTTATTTGTTGTTTTCATGTTTCTCTTTATTCTTTCAATTTTAAAGTTACTTCCGTACATTTTTTTGAACTCTCTCTCCTTCCACATTTTTTGTGCGATTTCAACAATTTATACATCAAAACGTTCGGCTCCTTCAGGAGATGTGTGAGAAATTTGTATTGATACCTTTTAAACTTTTTGAGATCCTCAGTTTTTTTATGCAATTTTTGCTCTCATTGAAAATACATGGGATTTCTGTGAAACCTTTCAGCATTTCACTATTTTTTGAACCTCATCTACTTCGGCAGATAAACTTTAGACTGTCAACTATTACAGAATTATTCAGCTTTTTGATAACTTGAACCGTTTAAGTTTGTAAAGGTTTTGGGTTTGTCTTGTTTGTCACTGTGTGGGTTTCTGGTTGTGTATTTTCAATGTATGTTTATGCAATTACATTTTTACTTCTATACAGTGATTTTAAACATTAGTTTACCACTTTAAAGATTATTGAGTCTTTTAAAAGATTCAGTCAAGCATTTTCAAGTTTTGTTCAACAATTTTCTACTTCTTGTCAATATTTTTATACGTTAGATTAGTAAAGTGTAAGGGACATTCAACTTTTTCTAAGCTTTATTTAAGCATTTTTAAGGTTTGTACAACCATTTTTTAACTTCTGTACAGCTATTTTAAAAAATTGTTAACCACTTTAAAGGGACGTTCAGCCTATTTAAAGTGTTAGTTCAGGATTTTAAAGGTTTACTAAACCATTTTGACTTTTTTTCAGCTATTTTAAACATTAGTTTTCTACTTTAAATCGATATTTAGCCTTTTTAAAGTTTTAATAATGCTTTTTTAAGGTTTATTCAACCATTTTTTAACTTCTTTACAACCATGTTTAATGTTAGAATACCACATATTTAGTGCAATATATACCTTTAAGACAGGTACTGCTTTATCTTTCTTCATTGTGCTAATGTTAGCTTCTTTAGTAATTTTAGCTTTTTTCTGCTTCTTCCGATATAATTCTGCTTCTTTCAGCAAATTTAAGTTCAATTTTTTTTGCTTCTTTTAGTTTTTTCTGTTAATTTAAACTTTTTATGCTTCTTCTCATGCTTCAAATTGAACTTGCAGTAACAGTTTTGCTGTTAAACGTCTTCAGCTTGACTTTAGCTTCTTCAGCAGCTTTCAGCAACAGACTTTCACATTAGCATTTTTACAGGAAATGCCATTTCTCTAGTTATAATTTCATTCATGAGTAAAAAAAATGCTTATTTTGAAAGTGAAAAGGCATTTCTATGAATCCGTTTTAATTTGAATATTGAGCCATGACTGCTTCCGTAGAGGATTAGTCTCAGCTACTACCACACCACGTTTTAGGTCACGAACTGTAAACCTGATGGAGTTGTAGCTTTTTGTGTTTTTTAGATCAGCTGTGGCGGCCATCTTGAATTTACTTGATTCCCATGTATGTGCAGACATTGCTTTAACTCAGACATCGTCCACCGCTGCCTTCATCAGCAGTGGACAGAAACAAAACAATAAATAAGGAGTTTTTTTGTGTCGTTTGTTTCAACAATGAACCAAACAAACATTTCTGCTCCCATCGGTCGGACTCATCCAAACAGCTGCAGTGTGGTGTTAGTGTTTTATAAGATTTGTTTGGTTTGTTCTCTTCTGCTTGTTTGAATCTGCGGTGACGTAACGACTCTGCGCTGCTCAGACGATGTGGTGTATCTGCCCGACGAGAGGCTGCTGCAGGAGTACATCATGAACGAGAACGGACTCATTTACAAAGGGAGCTGGAACTACATCACTGTCCAGCACTGGAACTTTGGCCAGGCAACTAAAACACACACACACACACACACACACACACACACACACACACACACACACACACACACACACACACACACACACACACACACACACACACACACACACACACACACACACACACACACACTGCTCTTTAAACCTTCAGACCTTAAAATTTCTTTATCAAAAACTAGAAGACAAACAGCTTAAATATATTCTGCAGAAGCAAAAACATGAACTTTAATCCTAATCTAAGGTTTTTATCAGACTCTGAGGTTCAGGAGGTTCTTTAAATTAAAAAATAGAGAAAAGCTAAAGAATCTCTCTCTCTGTTGTGTTGTTTGTCCTCGATGTTTCCTCCAAGTTTGAGGACTACGTGGTGGACATCTGCTTTCAGCTCCTGGATAACTCCAACAAGGCCCTGAGCGACCCGAAGGAGGACCTGGAGAGACGATCTGACCCGGTCTACGTCAGCAGGATGGTCTCGGCCATGGTGGGTTCTGGTCTGAGCACGGTTTGACCCGTTGTCGTTGAGCAGTGGACGTTTTAAAGCCGTCCCCTCCGTCTGTCCAGGTGAATTCTAACGACGACATCGGGGTGTTGTACGGGAGCTGGAGCCCACCGTACCATAACGGGGTCCCTCCGGGCCGATGGACCGGCAGCGTGCCCATTCTCCGGCAGTGGAGTCGCTCCGGCCTCAGGCCGGTGAAGTACGGACAGTGCTGGGTGTTCGCAGGCGTCGCCTGCACAGGTGAGGCTGCACCAGGCTCAGTACAGACCATTCATCCCAAACATGACTCCAGGTATTCACTGTTCCCACACATGAAAAGGAGAAATATTAATAACCAAATCCTCCATTTCTTTCTTCATTTATTGATTTTCAGGCAGGAGATTTTAGGCTTTTTTTTCAGGAGAAAACCCATAAACAGGCTCAGAGGTGTCAAACTCATCTTCATGTGAGCATCATGGTTGTAATAAACTTCCAACAAGACATGCCACATTCCTGAACACCGCTAACAAACACTAAGTGAGCTCTACCTGGTATTTTCTGCATAGAAACAGTGAAACATGTACGACTAAATGTGGAACAAATAAAACAGAAATACTATTAAAAAGAGAAAAGTAGAGTTTTACTCTGTTGAGTTGTGCTGAGTTGCTGCTGTCTTGAATTCTCCCACTTTCCTACAGGGAATTCCCACAAATTCCCAGTTTAAATTTACAACTTGTACATCGGAAATTCAATTCAATTCAAAGATGTATTCATTTCATTAAAAATACTGTAAACAATAATAAAAAAATAAACAAAAACCAAAAAAATATACACAAATCAAAATAAAATGAAAGGTAGCAGAAGAAGAATAAATTTTGTCTGCCCCTTTTTGACACAGAATATATTCAAACAAAACACAATTTACAAAACAATACTAAATAACATAAAATGAAAAAATAAAATAATAAAAATAAAAACAACAACATAAAACATTCCCACCTCCCACTGCAGCAAATGCTGCCTGCTACTTTTGAACCCTGTGCAGCTCCACCTAGTGGTGGGAAGCCATCATTTCATGAGTAAAACAATCAACATGCATTATGGGAGATGTAGTCAATGCTGGTTTTAAAGTAGCTCCTTTTAAGATTAATATATCTTTGAAGCTCTTACGGGCCGCATAAAATGCTGTGATGGGCCACATTTAACCCACAGGCCTTGAGTTTGACACATGTACAGAATAAGTACTGTTAGCTTGAACATATTAATTTTCATCAACATTAACTTCAAAACAATTTTTGGTTGTCTTCACAATCTGACAAGTACTTCAGAAAAGTCTTCTTTTTACAGAACATTGAAACAATTTCTAAAATTTACCAAGAAATACTCTTATTATTTCATGGTATTTTTCAATGAGCCAATTAGTAAATATTTTACTCTAAACATTTATGCAAAGAAACTCTTAAAACTTGTTTTAAAGCGAGCACGAGACGGGAAAGGTTTGGGCCACGCCCTCCTGCTGCAGCTCCAACTCAGACACAACAAAGTTCAGTTCATTTAGTTTGTTTTCTTACCGGCTGCCTCGTCTCTCAGTTGTGCGTCATCTTTCCAGTCCCCGTGTCAAAGGAAAGGTTCCTATGGTTCCTACCCTCTCACTACTTCTTCATGTATGTTAATGGCGGTTGGCAAACAACTTGTTGTGTGTGTTACCACCACCTACTGGAATGCAGTGTGGGTCAGAATGCTTGATGTTTGCTGTAGTGCCTGTACTTTTTATTTAAAATATTTTATTATATTTTCTGACTCTTTTGTATTTGTATTTGTTAAATTATTTTCCATACTTAATCAAAAACAAATTTTCTATAAACATTTTCTGTTATAATTAAAATGTGAATTCTTTTGCTTCCTGAATCTTTCTGTAGTAAATTTGATAAATTAAATGTTTCTTTAACCGTTCTGAAGTCCTCCATCATGTCTCTGTCTTTCAAATCTTTTACATATTAATATTACATGTTTTATTGTTTCTGTTATTCCACAATACTGACAGTTTCCAGTTTTTAAAACATTTTAAAGAGTGTGTTGTTGTGTTACCCTCTTACCTCCCAGCTCGACTTGACAAAAACAGGAGCAGCAGCAGAAAAACTGACCTCTGCTGTGTTTTGTTGTGCTGAACAGTCCTGCGCTGCCTGGGAATCCCAACACGCCTCATCACCAACTTCACCTCGGCCCACGACGTGGATGGAAACCTGTCCGTCGACTACGTGGAGAACTTCTACAGTAACTCCAAACAGGACAGCACCTGGTAGAACCAAACTCGCGTAGTTATGGAGATAAATATAGAATTAATTTAAAAATCCATCATTCTACAGACAGAAAGATTTAGAGAAGCTGCCAACCCGAAGGGCAGACCGTGCATGCAGCTGATATTTTAATGATCCTGTGTTCGCAGGAACTTCCACTGCTGGGTCGAGTCCTGGATGAAGAGGACTGATCTCCCTCAGGGAAATAATGGTTGGCAGGTTCTGGACCCCACGCCTCAGGAGCGGAGCGATGGTACAGTTTTTTTTAAATGAGTAGCTTCTGGATTTTCTACATTTCTTCTTTTTTAATCTCAAATCCTAACAGAACAAACGCACTGCTTGGTGTTTTCTCTTCTCAGCATCCTACTTTTATATATTTATTTTTAGAATCAAACTTTGTGCTGTTTTATGAAAATGTTTGGTTCAATTAGGAGTGAAATACAACTTTTATGATTTTCAGTATATTTGGCTTTACTTACAAAACCTTTTCCAACAGAAACACATAGAGTTTTGTTTTTCTGCAATAAATCATTTTTAACTTTATTTTATTTCTTTCTGCTCCTTTCAGCTTTAAACTACACTTTAGCTTACTTTAGCTTGCATCTACTGTTTTGTTGAATGTAGCTTTAAGTTTTGCTAAATTTAGCTTGTAATTCAGTAGCTTCTGTTTATGTTTTAACTGATTCAGTTTCAGACAATTCAACAGGTTTAAGAGTTCACTCTGCTTTTTTGCAGGAAATATAACTTTTTCTGGTGTTTAGTTACAGTATATTGTACTAAAAGTTGATTTTATTTGATATTTAAGCAGATTAATTCTTCAGTTTCATGGTTCGAGTTGATCCTTTCTCAGGTGAGTTCTGCTGCGGTCCCTGTCCGGTGGCGGCCATCAAGGAGGGCAACCTGGATGTGAAGTACGACGCTCGGTTCGTCTTTGCTGAGGTGAACGCTGACCTCATCTACTGGAGATATCTGCCTGACGGTCGGAGACAAAAGGTTCGGCCAGTCTTTGTCTCATCAGGTTGAAACAAAGGAGGAAGAAGAGCTGAAGGGTTTGATGAAGATACTTGTATTTACAGATCAATGTCGATGAGAAGACCGTGGGCAGAAACATCAGCACCAAGAGTGTTTATGGAGACGTGAGAGAAGACTTGACTCTGCAGTACAAATACCCTGAAGGTCAAAGAATAAACCCCTCTGATAGCTTTAATAAATTATCCAGGTTCATCACGGGTTTCATTTGGATTTCTGCTGGGACTTTCTGTTTCTCAACAGGTTCTGCTAAAGAAAGAGAAGTGTACACGAGGGCCGGGCGCCGGATCCAGGAGCCGTCCAGTGGAGATCCAGAAGCCAAACAACTGAAGCTGATAATCAAACACTCCCAGCCAACGTTTGGAACAGACTTCGACGTGATCGTGGAGGTACAAAGTCAGCAGACTGTAGCTGAACAGGAAGGAAGAAGTGAGTCTGAATAAACTCCTCCTGATGTGTTCGCAGGTGAAGAACGAAGGAAGTGAAAACGTGAATGTGAAGCTGACCATGAGGGTCATGGCTGTGACCTACAACTCCCTCCACCAGGGCGACTGCCAGAGACAGAACAGCAATGTGATGGTGCCGGCTCTCCAGAGTAAGCAGACACCCAAAATGACCCCACAAAGACCCTGCAAAGACTCCACAAAGACCCCACATGGACTCCACAAAGACCCCACAAAGACCCAACAAAGATCCCACAAAGACTCCACAATGACCCTGCAAAGACTCCACAAAGACCCAAAAGAGTCCACAAAGACCCCACAAAGACCAAAGACCCCACAAAGACCCTGCAAAGACTCCACAAAGACTCTACAAAGACCACACAAAGACTCCACAAAGACCCAAAGACTCAACAAAGACCCCACAAAGACTCCACAAAGACCCCACAAAGACTCCACAAAGACCCAACAAAGACCCCACAAAGACCCAACAGACACCACAAAAGACTCCACAAAGACCCCACAAAGACTCCACGAAGACCCCACATAAACTTCAAATAGACCCAACAAAGACCCCACATAGACTCCACAAAGACCTCACAAAAACCTCACAAAGACTCCACAAAGACCCCACAAAAATGCCACAAAGACCCAACAAAGACCCCACAAAGACCCAACAAAGACCCCACAAAGATGCCACAAAGACTCAACAATGACCCCACATAGACTCCACAAAGACCC